ATGTGGGTACTCAAATGAAAGGTCTCGATGAGCGTAACATCAGGATGAGCTTATATCATTAAAAATATCATCAGTGACCAAAATAAAATATGATTTCTTAATTATTGTAATTTTTCAAGATATAAGCTCATTATGATTAAAATAAAAGAAGAAAAGAATAACTTACAGTTGTCTTAGCATTGTGAGACGCATTTCCTTCTAAGAGCGCAGTGACAATGTGTGCATGTCCTTGCTGAGCGGCTTGATGTAACGGAGTATAATTATGACTAGTCCGTACATCAATTTGTGCATTGTGCTTGAGAAGAAATCTAATCATCGACAAGTTTCCAAAGTGTGAGGCGACGTGAATCGGCCGGTAACCAGACTCCGTTTGGCTCTCGACGTTAGCACCATTTTTCACTAAAATAGATGCGACACGAATGGAATCTTCTTGAGCGCAGAGGTGTAATGCGGTCAGACCATTCTTAGATTTGTGGTTCGGGTCAGCTCCATGTTCAATCAACAAATTGGTCATGTCATAATGCCCTTTTTGGGCACTGAGTTGAAGGGGTGTAAATCCGGCTTTGGATTGTGCATTGGGGTCTGCTCCGTGCTCCAGTAATGTTGATGCAATGTCCATTTGGTTCTTACGAGCTGCGATATGCAACGGTGTATGTCCGTTTTGAGACGCCAGGTTTGGTGATGCTCCTTTTTCTAGGATCATGTTTGCTACGTTGGAATGATCGTAGTGACAAGCGAGGTGCAGTGGTGTAATGTCATTCTGAAAATGTATTTTTTATTAATTAATTTGGTAAAAAATTTAAATATCGCATTACTAATGAAGAAAGAGTGTATAAAAAAATTTTTTTTCAATAAAATTGAAAATGTTTATAATTGATAAATCTGTAAAGAAAATAAAAAAAAATTTTTTTTTTTATTACACTTTTTTGACTTTAAGAAATAACATTTATTTATAAAAAATTTTTTTTTAGTTTAGTTACATTATTTTGACTTTAAAAAAATTTTTAGTTTATTTTCTAATTTATTATTGTCAAAATTTAACTTCTTAAACTTCCAGCTATAAGAATTAAAAATTAACAAAAAAAAAAAGTTAATTTAATACAATAATTTTTCAGTTTTTCAAAATTTTTAATTTTTGAAGCAAAAAGTCATAAAAATAAGAAAAAAAAATTTTTTTTAATGAATTTGAAAAGGAGTATAATATTTGAATCTTTAAAAAAATTAAAAAAAATTTTTTTTAGTTCCACCATTTTGACTTCAAATACATTTTTAAATAAAATAAAAATTTTAAGTTCATTTTCTAATTTTTTATTGTAAAAATTTAACTTCTTAAACTTCTGGCTACAAGAATTGAAATAAAATAAAAAAAATTAAGTTGATTTACAAAAATTTAGCTGAATTCAATCATTTTTTTGAGTATTTTAAAATTTTCAATTTTTTATCAAAGAAGAAATCTTGTTTCATAAGATAAAAAAAAATTTTTTTTGCTATACCTTTGATTTTGAAAAAAAAAATTATTAAATTTAAAAAGGCGTATGTAAAAATAAATTTCATATTTATATTTTATGAATTTTTACTTAAAAAATTGAAAATTAAAAAAAAACTCAAGAATAATTAAATTTTTATGAGTCAACTTTATTTTTAAATTATTTAATTTTTAAAGTCAGAAATTTAAAAAGTTTAATTATAAAGTAGAAAATTTTTTTATTTTATACATCTATATTTTTTAAAAAACTCAAAAAATTTTAATTTTTAATTTTTTTTAAGAAATTTCCATATTTCTAACATTCCTATTAAACCATATTATAATTAATTATAAATCATAAGTATTTTTATTGTTGTCTTCATTATATTTCAAATTTTATATTATTGTATCCACTATTGCAATAATTATTTTTTAAACTTTGCCTAATAAATAAATAAATAAATAAAAAGAGATACACTCTTCATCATTAGTAATGTAATAAAATTAAATAAATAATAAAATTATTAATTATTACCTTGCCTTGTGAGTCGAGTTTACTGTCTTTTTGTAATAAAATTTTCGCTACATTCACATTACCATATTTAGCAGCAATATGTAATGGTGTAAATCCATTTTTGGTCAATGCTTTTACTGACGCATGATTTTCAACAAGAATTGCTGCGACCTATTATAAATAAAAAAAAAAATAATATAATTAATTAATGAAATTAATATCCTTAATTAAATTAAAAAAAAAATTCCACAAGTATTATAAATTATAATTGAATAAAAAATAATAAACATGCACTTACCTGAAAACAAAATTTAAAAAAAGAAATCTACTTTTAAAATCTAAAACAAAAAATTACTTAATCGTGCTTAAAGCTAAGTGTAACAATCATTAACATAAAAATATTTTTAAAAATTATTTATTAACTAGTGAAAATAAAAATCAGTACATAAACATAAACAAAATACAGTAAACAAATGAATGTGCAAAAATAATAATTAATAATAACTAAAATAATAATATTAATTATAATAATAATAATAATAATAATATGTAACAAAATAAAATTATATCATATATTCTTTGTGACGAGTCCAAAATAAATATAAATTATTCTGTGTATTAATATAATCAGCAATACGAGCTATTTCTTTATTATTTACCTCTTCTTGACCTTCCTTAGCGGCGATATGAAGAGCAGTATACATGTCTTTTGTCGTAGTATCGACCGAAGCACCATGTTGAAGAAGAAGCATCACGATATCAACATTGCCTAACCTTGAAGCTATATGCAAAGGAGTTTGCTCCTCCTGCAACAAAATAATTTTCATTAATAATATTTTATATCTTCTCTAAGATTTTTTTTAAATTTAATTTTAAGAAGATCTACGCGAAGTAGTCAAATTTTCAAAACTTCCTAAAAATTCGTAGATTCAATCTACGTAGCCTAATAATTAATAAAAAAATTTTTAAACAGTAGCTTTCCGGGATGTTTAATCAAATAATTGCACAGAAAACAAAATTTCTTGACTGGAGAACAAAATTCTTGGCTCAAGAAAATTTGTCGGGTGCTTGAAGGAAGACCGAAGGTGTGTTGATCGAAGTAAAAATTTATGCGCATATTACTCATACTCATAATAAATTTACGGATTTTGTATTATAACAATTCGAAAAGTCTGTTCAAGTACTGGACCCATTTTTATAAGTGTTCAAGTACTGGGTACTTTACCTTAATTTTCTAAATAAATTTTCTTGGATAAAGATACGTATTTCTTAAATCAAGAGAATTAATTCTGTTGAAATAAGTAAAATTTCTTGTCAAAAAAAATTGTTTTTTCGCCCAAGAAAAAAATTAGGAAAATTTAAAAATTTTCGTGTGTTAATTTCAAATTTTGTTAGTATTGAGTAATATTTTATATTTGTAAAATAAGTATTTCTGTCCTTAGACAATATCTCTATCTAATATTTATTTTTTGATATTATCGAGAGCTGACTCCGGCGCTACTGCAATGCCGGGCAACTCATGACAGACTCAGAGCAAGCTCCATAGTTCCGTCAGGTTTTAAAAATCAGGTTAATATACTGGATTCTCGATGAGAATCGTACCAGATATTAAGCTGATAAGAACAGATACTACACTTGATCTTAGCCAAAAGGCCGAGAAGCGATACTATTTCGTGAAAATAAATAGAATTTATGCATTCTGAAATAACTGTCTTCAAACGGACTAAAAGTTGTTATGTGCGACACCTCACGGTAACTTACGAAGTTCCGCTCACTGTCAAGCTTTATACCAACGTTATGTCAGAGCTCCGTTCACCCGTTGTTTATTCATATAAAAAATATATTAAAAATAAATTTAGATATTTTTAGTGTTATTCAAGAGTGTAATTGTTGAGCTGAATAAATTTAATATTAATATCTACAATAGTTTTTGTGTAAAAAAATAATAAATATCGGCTTACTCTTGCGCGAGCATCAACTTTAGCCCCATTCCGAAGTAAAATCCGTATAATATCAGTTTGATTGGCTCGAGCTGCTAAATGAAGCGGTGTCTCTCCTCTGACAGTTGGTACGTCAGGATTAGCTTCGTGTTGAAGAAGAAATATAACGATGTTCATGCATCCCATGAAGCTGGCCACATGCAGAGGTGTTAATCCGGACTGTTAAAAAATTTTAATTATTTATTTATTTATTTATTAATCGAATAAATAATCAATAATATAATCAGTTAGGGTTCAATTACTTCTGTAGTTGATTCAATTGAAGCGCCGTGTTTCAATAACAGTTCCACAACCTTGATACGATTTTTCTTACACGCAATGTGTAATGGAGTGAAGCCATTCAGCGCTCTTGCATTTGGATCAGCTTTTCTGTCAAGAAGTAATTTAGCGACTCTTACATGACCGCAGTGAGCTGCTACATGAAGTGAAGTTAGGTAGTCAATGGTGACTTCATCAACTGGAGCGCGGTGATAAAGCAATACACGTGCTGCGTCAACATGGTCACCTTGCGATGCCATGTGAAGTGGCGCCAGTCCATTCTAATTTAATTAAATAAGATCATTAATTAGTTTAATTTTTAACCTTTGATATTTTATTATTTTTATTTACCTTGGTACGCGCACTAATCGGCGCAGAATGTTCAAGAAGCGTTGAAACAACTTCTTCATGACCAGATCTAGCAGCACAGTGAAGTGGAGTCAAACCGTCCCGTGTTTTTGCTTCGATCATCGCTGAGTTTTCTAATAATAACTTTACCATATTGTTTTTTCCCCATTTTGCTGCTACATGCAACGGGCTAATATTGTGCTGTAATTTTATAAATTGAGTATTTGAATAGAAAATTTATGTTTCATTTTTTATTTACTGTTAATTACATATCATAATAATAATAATAATATTTATTCTACTCATTAATGAATTTTTTTATTTATAATTTGAGGTTTTAATTTTAATTTTAAATTATTATTATTGTTATTAATTATTACTAGCAACCTTGCAGTCACTACGTGACTGCCGTAACCTGTGGACTATAAATAAATAAAATTTTGGTTTATCAAATAATGACGTTTGTTAAATTGCACTGTACTTTTTTAACTATTGAAATTTTTAAAGATATAAGCTCATCCCGATGTTATACTCATCAAGAGCTTTCATTTGAATACCAACATGCATTTTTATATATTTTTCATGTATACATATATATATATATGATACATATAAATATATAAAATATATGAAAAATTGATGTGGGTACTCAAATGAAAGGTCTTGATGAATGTAACATCGGGATGAGCTTATATCTTAAAAAATGTCAGACGTTCACAAGATTCAAGGTCATTTCTTAATTATTAACATTTTTAAAGATATAAGCTCATCCTGATGTTACATTAATCGAGAGCTTTTATTTGAGTACCCACATGCATTTTTGATATATTTTTCATATATACATATATCTACATATATATAATATATATATAAATATATGAAAAATTGATGTGGGTACTCAAATGAAAAGTCTCAATGAGGGTAACATCGGAATGAGTTTATATCTCTAAAAATGTCAATAGTTTACAAGATACAAGGTCATTTCTTAATTATTAACATTTTTAAAAATATAAGCTCATCCTGATGTTACATTAATCGAGAGCTTTTATTTGAGTACCCACATGCATTTTTGATATATTTTTCATATATACATATATCTACATATATATAATATATATATAGTATATGTAGATTTTAATAAATACTTTCACGTATATATTCTTTTAAATTTTAATTATTCAGTCAATAAAACTGAAAAAAAAATCTTTTGTAAGAAGAAAATCTCTATTTACACTCAAAAAAAGTCCTGATAAATCATAAAGTGTGAATAAACACTTCTTCATTTTAAATAAACTGCAGGATGATATTTAATAAAAAAAAAAAATTTTTTTTTTCACTCGTTAGCAGTAAATTATTTTTATTTTTAATTCTTAACTATGACAAAACTTATAAATATTTTTTTTAAAATGAAAATTTTTTCCATAAAAAATTGTATCGTTATTTCTTCATTGAAATGTTATTCTGCTGGTAAAAAATTACTAAAAATGTAAGTATTAAAAACTGAATTAAAAAAAAATCAAAATTTCGCATTTTCGGGATGCACATATATTTGAGTACATTCTCTAAAAATTTCAAAATCAATCTGAAAATTTTTTTTCGAAAAACGGTATTTAAAAGCCGATGAGCATGATTTCTTCAAAACAGTTTGATCGATCGGTTTTTAATTTTTACACAACCTTCCTAGAGACATTCCTTATATATCAATCTAAAAAATAAAATTTTTGACAATTTTCTCGATTTTTTAGTTTCTTGAGTAAATAAATTTGTTAGAATTTTTTAATTAAATTTTTTTATAATAATTTTATACGACACTGAAGTTGAAAGACATTAGAAATGTTTTTATAATTTTATAGCAATGAAATAATTATAAAAAAAAAAAAATTAATAACAAAATTCGACATGTGATAATTAAAAAAAAATTATTAGTCAAAAATTTTAATTAAAAAAAAAATGAATTATCTATTTTAATTATTGATTTTCTATTTAAAATATTTTATTAAAATTTTTAAATTAAAAGCATACGATTTTTCACCGAGTCCTGGGAGCGAAGAACGTCACCAAATAACAATCGGAGTTGGAAAAAGAAAACAACGAAGGTACCGTACAACATTTACAAACTTCCAATTAGAAGAATTAGAACGCGCGTTTCAAAAAACGCATTATCCAGATGTCTTCTTCCGTGAAGAGCTGGCATTGAGAATACAGTTAACTGAAGCTAGAGTCCAGGTAAAAAATAAATTCAAAAATAATTTATCATACTAATTAATAATAAACTAGCAACCTTGCAGGCACTATGTGACTTTTGTTAAATTGCACTGTACTTTCTTAAATATTGGAGTTTTTAAAGATATAAACTCATCCTGATGTTATTCCTAATCAAGAGCTTTGATTTGAGTACCCACTTGCATTTTTGATATATTTTTCATATATACATATATATAATATATATATATAAATATATGAAAAATTGATGTGGGTACTCAAATGAAAAGTCTCAATGAGGGTAACATCGGAATGAGTTTATATCTCTAAAAATGTCAATAGTTTACAAGATACAAGGTCATTTCTTAATTATTAACATTTTTAAAAATATAAGCTCATCCTGATGTTACATTAATCGAGAGCTTTTATTTGAGTACCCACATGCATTTTTGATATATTTTTCATATATACATATATCTACATATATATAATATATATATAAATATATGAAAAATTGATGTGGGTACTCAAATGAAAAGTCTCAATGAGGGTAACATCGGAATGAGTTTATATCTCTAAAAATGTCAATAGTTTACAAGATACAAGGTCATTTTTTATGTATCTAGGGATAGAGCATTTTCGAATGCAGCCTAAATACTTATCATTTTTAAAAATTAAAAATGCAATTTTTCAAAAATAATTCTTCCGAACAAATTGTTTTGTCAAAAAAAATTTTTTTAAATGAACAAGTGTCTGCTAACTTTAATGTAATTTATTATTATGATTATTATTGTTGTTGTTATTGTTATTATTGTTTCTACTAACCTTGGCTAAATAATTGACATCAGCTCCTCGTTTTATTAATAAATGTCCTATTTCTTCATTACCATAGTGAGCCGCAATGTGAAGTGGTGTGAAACCACTCTTAGAAGTCACATCAGGTTTATGATCATTCTAAAAATTATTTTATCATTAAATAATTACAATTAAAATGTACTAATAAATAAATAAATAAATATAATTTTACCTGAAGAAGTAAATCGGCAGCTTTACAGTCGTCTTTTTTAGCGGCAATATGCAACGCCGGTAATCTAACTTTACCTTTCGAATCGTTTTCTAGTAAGACACTTACTACTTTGTCGTGACCCTGCTGCATTGCGACAGCAAGCGGTGTGAATCCATCCTAAATTAATTAATTAAAATTTCATCAGGTATTCTGTTTTTTAATTGATTGCAATCATGATTATTAATAATAATATGAAAATTAAATTAGCCGACATTTAAAAATTTTTAGATTTTTTTTTTATTAAAAAAATTATTTTAAAAAAAATGTCACTTGTAAAAAATTTTAAAAACTGTTGTGAAATTTTTTAAAAATATTTTTTTGTTTTAATTCAATTATTAAAAAAAAAATCAAATAATTAAAAACGTCGGCTAACTTTAGTATCATCATTTAATTATTAAATTTTCAGATAAAATAGACAAATCTGGATGCTATAATTACTTCAGTTGCTAAGCTTTGATTTGCACCATTCGTAAGTAATAATTTAACAACTTGGTCGTGATTTTCTTGAGCTGCCATGTACAGAGGAGTGAATCCATTTTGAGATTGTGTATTAACCGCCGCTCCATATTGTAATAAAATATTTACAACCTCAACTTGTCCAGCTAAATTTTGTAAGTTTTGTCATATTATAACAAATTATCAATAATTATTAATCATTAATAATAATAATAATACTGAATTTAGCAGACATTTAACAATTCTTTAAATTTTTTCAACAATTCAATAATTATAAAAAAATATTTCTAAAAATTCCCAATTAAAATTTTATTTAATTTTTGCATACAAAATTTTTTTTTTTTATAAATTAATTATTTTAAAAATCTAAAAAATTTCTAAAAATTTCCAATTAAAATTTTATTTAATTTTTGTATACAAAAATTTTTTTTTTTATAAATTAATTATTATAAAAATCTAAAAAATTAAAAAATGTCTGCTGAATTCAGGATTAATTATTAATTACACGGAAAGAACAAGATTATACTGGATATAATCCCAGATTATTCTGAGTGAAAAACAATTTCAGATAGTAGCTAGTATAATCCAGATAACAGTGAGTATAATCCAGATAACAGTGAGTATAATACAGATTACAATGAGTATAATCCCGATATTATTCAGTATAATCTGGATTATACTAGCTACCATCTGAAATTTTTTCACCTCTGATGTCACTGAGTATAATCTGAGATGGCATACAGTGTCATCTTGTTCTTTCCGTGTAGTTAATTAACTAATTAAAATAATTAATATAAACATTTATTACCTAATGAAGCAATGTGTAAAGCAGTGTTGCCTTTTTTTGTAGCCGAGTCAACCTTAGCTCCTCTTTTTAATAATTCTGTCACTATTTCAACGTGTCCATCCTTTGACGCCAAATGTAACGCATTCAACCCATTCTAAAAAAACAAAAATACATTTATATTAATGACACAAGTTAGTAGACGTCTAAAAATTTTTGATTTTTGTTTTTAATTAAATTACAACTAAAAAAATATTTCTAAAAAATTGCACTTATAGTTTGTCAAGTTTTCTACAGCTGAAATTTTTTTTTTAATTGTTTAATTGAAATTTTTTCAATAAAAAATTTCTAAAAATTTTGAAATGTCGGCTAACTTCATTTTCATTTATATTATTGATTTTTTTTAATGAAAATTAATTTAGCAGATAGTAAATAATTTTAAGAATTTTTGTAACAAATAAATTATTTAAAAAATTGATATTTAAAAATTGTAAAAAATTAAAAATGCAATTTTTTAAAAATAATTTTTTTGTTAAATAAAATTGAAAAATGATCAAGTAACTGTTAATTTTTTTTTTTAACTTATACTCACCGAGTTTGATGTATTGATATCGAGATTCAAGTCGAGATACTCGATAACTTTTTCCAAATTTCCCGACCTCGCAGCTCGAAGAAATGCCGTCGTATCGTCCGTCTACAAAATAAAAATAAATACTTGTTACGCACATTGAAATAAAAATCGATTCAAGTCGCTTGGACGATTTTTTAAGCTGTTACTGCATCAATCAATACTATGCTAATTACTTCAATTAAAATTCTTCTAAATTCAGATATTTGATAACTTTTAGTATTTAAAAAAAAAAAAATTACAAAAAAAAAATTTTATTAGTTGCATAAATAATTTTTGAATTTGAAAAAAATTTTTCTTGCAATAATTTATTTATAATAATTTCAAAAAATTATTAAATGCATGAAAAGAAATGTTTACGTCCGAGGCAAGTACACGAAATTTTTTTACAGAATTTTTTAGCAAATAAATTGTTTAAAAAAAATTTGAATAACAAAAATTATTATTGGAAATTTTTTAATAATTTTACAGTAATTAATTTATTGAGAAAAAAATTTTAATAAAAAAATTTTACATGGAATAATTAAAAAAAAAATATTAGTGTAAATATTTTCATAATTTTATAGCAAATAAATTATAAGAGGAAATTTTTTAATGATATTATTATAGCAATGAATTTATTGAGAAAAAAATTGTATGAATAATTTCTGAAGAATTAAGGGGGAACACCACTGTGACGGTCGAAAAAAAAGGTGATTTTCAGGAATTTTTTTCACAGAGATAATGAAGGAATTTGGGGATTGAATTTTTTTCAATTTATTAAGGGTATATTAAAGATAACTACCCTAAATTTTTATTGAAAAATATTTAATTATTACAAAGTTATTAACAATCTCGTAATTCTCGTACGGAATTATGAAAATTTTGATTTTTAAAAAAATGGCGATTTAATGAAAATTTTCTCATTATTTTTACTGTTTTTGTTTTCTTTTTGTTTCAACCCGGCTAAAAAATCTTTAAAATTAAAATTTTCAAAATTTGGGTTTTAATTTTTAGATGATCCAATTTTGAGTTATCGATGCGACCATGGGAGAGAAATTTTTTCTAGTTCTCTACGACATTGTTAATAACTTTGTAATAATTAAATAATTCTTAACAAAAATTTATAGTAATAATCTTTAATGTACTCTTAATAAAATAAAAATAATCCGATCCCCAAATTTTTTTATTTTCCTAGTCAAAAAAATTCCGGAAAATAATTTTTTTTTCGACCGTCACAGTGGTGTTTTCCTTAAATAAAATTTTTCTTCCAATAATTTATTTATAAAAATTATTAAATGCATGAAAAATTAAGAAAAGTTTACAAAATTTGATAGATTTTTTTTGTCACCATGGTGGAATTAAAAATAGCTACCGCCCGAGGCAAGTACACGAGTATTCATTAAATCCGTATGTTCTTTGAATAATTTCTATTCTTTTAGGTCTACAAAAGTATCCGCCCTATACCCTTCAAGTTCATTGTCCAAAATGAATGAAGTACATTGAAATAAAAATCACGCCCTTGTACTTGTTAATATCAAAAAAAATTTTTTTTTTGATAAATTACTTTTGGAAAAATTTTAAATTATTTTTATTAAAATTACAAAGAAGACTAAAGAAGAAATAAGTGAGTTTGTATTTTATTTAACTCATAAATACCTGGTTAGTATTATCTGTCACCATTGTGACAAGATTTAATATTTAATTAAATCCAGTGTTATCACTCACTTTAAAATTGTTAACTTTTAATAGCATATAATTTAATAATAGTATTAAAAAAAAATAACTGAGTTATTTGCAAAATTTATATACCGGCATAGCAAGGAGCCGCCCCGTGCTCGGCTTTTTCCCGACTTTTTATTATAAATTATGATGACAGGGATAAAGTTTAATCCTGCGTGTTTGCGTTGGATACCAAGTGCGCAAGCTTAGGCAATTTTATTTATTTTTTTTTTTATAAACTTAAATTCAACAAATTAAAATTGTTTAGAATTTTTAAAATTAACTATAATAATAACAATAATAAAATTAATTAAAGAAATATTATTAGTAGTTAAATAAAAATAAATCTTGCGGTTTATTGGGACGTGGATTGAAGCGAAGGGCGACGCAACCACCAACTTTTCAACACTGTACTCGGCGATCAATAAAACAGCCTGTTTATTAAAGCTACCGCGACGACGACGACGTCCTCGTCGTCGTCACGACGTCTAAGATACTCAATTAAATGTTTTTAATGAGTTTTTTTTTTTTGTACAAACTTTAAGCTTGAAAATTTTTTTTTGAAATTGCTGAAGAAGAAATAATTTTTGTAATTAGTTTTATTGAAAATTTATTATTTATAAAGATGCTATTGAATTATTTCAGTAGAAACCTTGAAGAAAATTTGATGATACTAAACTGACATTTAACATTTTTTTATGATTATTAGGAAAAAATTTTAATAATAAAATGAAGATTTTTTAAAGAATTTTTTAGCAATTAAACAATTAAGAAAAAACTAGCGACCTTGCAGTCACTATGTGACTGCCGTGACTTGTGAACTATAAGTAAATAAAAGTATGCTTTATTAAATAATGACATTGGTTAAATTGCACTGCATTTTCTTAACTATTGATATTATTAAAGATGCAAGCTCATCCTGATGTTATACTCATTAAGATCTTTCATTTGAGTACCCACATGCATTTTTGATATATTTTTCATATATATATATATATATATTAAATATATATAAATATACTATATATATAAATATATCAAATATATGAAAAATTGATGTGGGTACTCAAATGAAAGGTCCCGATGAGTGTAAAATCGGGGTGAGCTTATATCTTAAAAAATGTCAAACGTTCACAAGATTTAAGGTCATTTCTTAATTATTGACATTTTGAAAGATATAAGCTCATTCTGTATGTCTACTCATCAAGAGCTTTCATTTGA